GATGATGATGTTGGTAATAATAAAAATGTGTAAATGATTTTCTCAAGTATACTTTTTTTCCTACAAAAAATAAGTGGAGTAAAGCTGTCTCGTGTGCTGGTGGTGTTTGGGGACCCATCTCGTTGATTTTATAATAGTAACAAATTAATTTATCCACTTTGTATTTTTAGAAATGTTACATCATTAAAATAATTTTATCAAAAATAATTAATAAATTAAATCGCTCATACAAATTATAACGTACGAACAAAGCAAAGGCTGGTAAATAAAATTGGGTCTATTTCGTGGTAGAAAATCATTCTCTTGTAATCATCGCTCGTCCACCACCGCCAGATCTTCACCCTCCATATTTGATTAGTGTCATGTGTTACGAATTAAGTAAAGTTTTTTTTGTAAAATTAGTTAGAGTAAAGTTACTAGCTAACCATTCTAAATTATATTCGTTTCGCATTTTATTATTTTCAGGTCTCGTATTTTATTTACTAATTAAATTGTGTGGACCGAGATTCCGCTATTTTCCAAATATCCAAATAGCTATTAAACCATTCATTTTGCTTGTCAGCGAAACTTATGTGTTTTTCAAAACACTTATGTATGGAGTATTTCATTTCACATATTTATCTATATTCACAGTTATAGTGGATGCATGTGTATTCAATTTCTTTCGGATTTAAAGCTCTGAATAAATTCAACGTGCAGGAAAACTTCACATGGCACACACTGTAAATATATTTACGTGGTTCGCATGTGCATTGCACTTAAGGAGCCAACACTCTAAATTGAAGTTCTTCTTTTCGTGTCCTTTTTCTTTGTTTTGGAAGTTCGTTCACATGAATATTTTGTTCACGTTTCTGTCGGATACAAATCACATTAATATACATCAGACAGACTATAAACTGGAAGTGAATGTATATAACATATGATAATTAATGATCACACGGACATGTACGAGAGTTCGAGTTTTGTTTCAGAAAAAAACTAAAGTACTATTAAAACTAAATATTATAAAAATTATTTGGGAATATACTTTCTATATGAAAACCAATAGATAGTTTATATATGATACAAAAATACGTATTTTGTGAGTAGTTGATGTACATCTGTCTTCGTTTTAGCTGGTAAAGGAAGGTTTATTTGTATATTATTGTAGTTGGTAACAGTTACGAGTATTAGGTCAGTATCTATGTTAATCAGGTAAACTATTAAATAAAATTAAACAACCACCTAATATTTTTAAATTAAATAACCCATGTACCATTTTTATTAAATAATGTAGCAAGTCCAGCTATTAGATTTGCAATAAAAATGATGATTAGTAGATCAAATTATTTATTGCCGTCAAAATTGGGTTGATGGGTCGTCACCGTACCAAATTAAGTAAATGGAACCCCCTGATTTGGAGATTAATCCTATGTTGAGTGGCATAACTATGGAACTCATAGACATTATTCTACTTAACGAGATATATTAATGAGAAATCTATATAATCACAATGATAAAAACATATACCAACTTTATTTTGGATCGATGTACGTTGGTCATTAATATTTAAAGTTTTAAGTTCAGCGTGTTTAGGTTAGTGGTCAACATCTACAAGCTAAACAATACAGTAGTATTAATCTATTTTGTTGGTATACTTGGGTCTAATAAGTTTTTGTTTCTCTCGCATATTTGTTTTGCGTGAAGTTTGTCGTTTGGTCGAAGAAGGCAATTCACTTAAGGCATTAGGTGAGGGTAATACGAGTTTTTTTAGTGTGAATACGTTGTCATTTTCGTTATACCACGTATCAAGGCTTTATATTAAATGGACCCAGCCACGGCCCCCTTCAATCAAATAAGACTAGATGGTTAAAAAGCTTGATTTGTTACGATTATACGAAGTTGGCCCACGATAGGACCCACCCCAATTGAGTCATCCGATGTCGTTTTGTGCGTATAGCCAGGCGGGTCATGACCAGACCCGGTACAACAGTCCAAACAGGCGAGCTATGACCCGACCATGGATTGTTTAGTCTGTTAGTATGTTTTCTTGTCTCCGAGTCTTATTAACGTTAATTATGCAATTTTAGATGAAATTCATTATCAAGGAGTATTTATTTTAATAGCTATTTATTTTATCGTTTTGATAAGACAAATATTAAGGATGTATGTCGTATTTTTCTTCTCGGTGATTATTATTTTTCTCCTTACATAGGGATTGCCGTAAAATTGTCATGATTATTGAAAGATAAAGCATACACGTACTAATGACCCTAGATAATGTAGACATATCACGTGATGAAAAGCGCGTTACGTGGTCTTTATACATTTGGACCCACCTCTAATTACTTTTTAACTTTAATTTTTCATTCATCAGTAGCCACTAAAACACGATTCAACACAGCTCATCATATTCCAAACTTGCTTAGAATCCATAACATTTACGCTTTTTATATTTAATATTTTCATATATATACTACTCCATACTTTTACAAAAAGCCTCTTTCTTTTTTTATTTTTTTTATTAGTTTTCGTCAAGTTATAATTAGTATATGAATCAGATTCAATAGTATCGAACGAATTATATCCACTCTTGATTGTTGGTATAATAATTTATCTGCTGTTACGGGTGAGTGAAGCTAAGAATCATAGATGAAGCAGATCACAGCCGTCGGATTGATTATTATTATTCCCTCCGTTTTATTTTAATTGTCATTCTACGTTTTTGCACACAGATTAATAAAACATTTAATTTTACATATTTTCAAGAAAAAAACACAATTACCTATACACCTAACCACTTTTCAACCAATAGAAAAATAGAATATCATATAAAACTAATAAATTTTGTCTCGAAACTCTAAAACGACACTTATTTTGAAACGAAATTTTTCCTCTAGAATGACAATTAATTCGAAACGGAGGGAGTATTATTTATTATTTGGACAACTCCGTAGGATTGATTATAAGATCCAATGTACAGCGCATACTAGGGTGAGACCAAACCGGTAAGCGTGTGAAACGGGGCCACGGGTCTTCCTTGCTGTCAGCTGCTGTTTTGATTTCGACAATAGTTGGATGTTGACTTTTCTCTTTTTCCTCTCACCAATTTTTTTTTTACTAAAGCGATTTTAACTTCAAAAGCTAATTACAAGTTATTTATCTAAATCTAAATATATAAAATATGTAGGTAGTAGACAATAGACATATTAGATGATATACCTAATGGAATTGATTATGATTGTTATTAATGTAAAGTCGAAGCTATTTGATCATAAGAAAATGACCTCGTTTATACTAGTGTTTTATTTTTCTCTTCTATGTCTCCTTCTTTATTGTAAAGAAATAATGCTTGCTTTTCCTGTAAAGAAAATAAGTCGTTATATCAGCTTTTCATATTTTTCAATTTATTGTCTAAACTTAATAAATTAAAACTTTAATTTTTATTTTGTAATTATGGTTCGTGGAATTGCTATATATAGATTGGGGTGTACAGACTTTTGTTCGCTGTCTTGTCTCTAAACTTATGTAAATACAATTGCATGTAAGGACCATAAGGGTGAATGAGTTAAATTATATTAAAAAAACAATTTCACGTATTTTAGGTTGTTCGTAGCATATGACAAAACTCATATTGTATTTATTCTCTTTTATTTTTAAAGGAAGAAAGGCGAAAATTGCTAGTCCTTTTTCGTATTTTGTTAAGTTATAGATAAGTATAATTAAGTGGTGGAAATAAGACTCATCAAGCTAATATCTCTAGTCTATTGATTATTTTGTCACCACTCTACGGTAGTTCCGTTTACATATCTATTCCATTTAGTCACTTACCATACTCATTATTAATTTTGTTGTATAAAAACAGGTTGTATATAATACAACTAATCATTTCCGATGTAATCGGTCAACGTAATTAAAAGAAAAACCAGTCAAAATTCTAGAGTTAAATAAAAAATGTGAAACAAATTGCAAGTAAAACATATTTAATGAGCATTTATATATGTACATATATTCAGCGAAAGCTCAGTTTTATAAAGTGCATTATCAACATTAATCGTGGATGCTAAATAGGATGTCACGTTTATATTGATTTATATAAAAAGAGAGAAAATATAATATTATTTCATGCTTTGTACTGTGTATAAACAGTATGCTCATGTTTTGATAAAAAAAAAAAAACAGTATGCTCATGTAAGATTATGATGACATGGTGCGGATTAAAACATAACAAGACATAAACAATTATTTATGAAAATGATTTGAATGAGTCATAAGACTCATAACCACATACATATACAAGAATGTTTATAAGTGCTAAACCAAACTGTACACACACAAACAAAGGTTGAGTAATAAGTGTCGCTATTATGCATAGCCTTTAGAGATTTCGTGTATATAGACACCAAGACAAGAGAGACACATTCAACATTGAAGTCTTGTTAGATTCCAAAACGTCAAGGCTTAGGTTTATTTCCTGGTGTATTCTATTAATGGGATTGACGAGCAAGGAACCACATGTGATACATGTCATTGTTTTGCTATCATCGTGACAAGAAAACTTGACCAGGATATTAAGAAAATAGCCTCAGTGTTTATAATTTTATTTAAAGTTACATATTTTTCTAAAAAAATTCAAAAAGATACATTTTTAAAAATTTAATACATATTTTGTTAAATAATAATGATTCATTTCAAATTTCTTAAAATTAAATTGTATTTATTGGATTTTTATTGGTTTAGAATTATTATTATTATTATATTGAGCTAATTTTCTGGTTTAGAATTATTATTATTATAATCACAAAATTATGTATTTATATACTATATTTTATTAAGATGTGTGGAAAATCTCAAATATGTATTATGTTGAAATAGAGGAGTAATTAATAGGGAAAGAAACTACCTACAAATTAATAAAAAAAAGGCATATAATGGAATTTTTAATTAAATTGAATTATTGGTGCTGTTTATTAAATATAGTTAAAGAGTCGGAGAAGGAGGGTAAAGGAAAAAAAAAAAAAAAAAAAGACAAGAGAAAGTGAAGAGTAGCTATCATGGGTGATTAGTTTAAAGGAGAGCCTCTGCTACGTTTTTAGGGGTTGAAGTGATAGAGAAGGCATTAGATAGATTACTTTCACCATCATCTCTACTATCACCATATACCACCACACTTCCTCTTCTTCTCTCTTTCTCAAAACAGAGTAGATTCTCTGTTTTTTTTTCTTTTTTTTTTCATCAATCTGTTTGCTGATAAAAAAAAAAAATCTGTTTGCTGATATTCACTTTTTGTTGGGAGGTTCTGTTTCACTGCTGCATTTTCCGGTGAGTTTTGGTGGTGTTATTTGCTTAGCTTAGGTTCCTCTTTTTTTTTTTTACCTTCTGTTATTTCTTTTTTAACTTTCCTCCATCGCTCTGCTTCTTCTTCCACGAACTTATTTAAAATATTCAGCTAGCGTCGGTGACTTTTCGTTTTCAGATGTGACTGTAAAACGTCGGTGATATTTTTTTCTAGGTGCGGTTACACGATCTTCTCTTGTGCCATTTGTATACGTTTTAGCGTTTGAATCCTGAATTCTAGTTACTGGCCTTTTTTTGTCGTGATTCCCCACCTTGAAATCGTTTTTTTGGAGCTATTCTTTTATTAGTTTCAACTTTCTTTCTTCTTCTTCTTCATTTACAAGTGTGTTTCAACCTCTCCTCGTAATCAGAATTATATTCAGGTTCTTGATTTATTATTTTGTTTGTTAATGCTCTTCCGTCTTCTTCTTTTGATTCTTTCCTCTGGATCTCTGATTTTTTTTTTTGTTTGTTTCAAATTCCTTTTTTAATTTCCTTTTCTGGTATTTTTCTTACTCGTTTGACTACAAACAGTACTGAAAACTTCTTTGTTATTTTTCTTGTGTGTATTGCAATCTTGAATGACTTGGAGAATATTTTGGTTTGTGTAGATGGATCGTAAGAGTTGGCCATGGAAGAAAAAATCCTCAGAGAAATCTGTTACAGTCACAGAGGTTCTTGACCAACACCAGGTAACTTAACTAACTAACTTACTAACTTCATCTCTCTTTCAGATTTTGAGTTTTGATTCTGATATTTAAAATAAAAAAACAGGAAAATGGGAAGAAGCCTAGCTACATACAGATCTCATTTGATCAATACTCTGTTTTCAACGGTTTAAAAGACGAAGTTCAAAAATACCAAGAAAAAGTTACAAACCTAGAAGATCAGATCAAAGATCTTGACTCCAAGCTATCTACAGCTAATGCAGATATTACCGCCAAGGAGGTTCTCGTCAAACAACACTCCAAAGTCGCTGAAGAAGCCGTCACAGGTAATTATTATGACCCAAACCACTGAGTCAAAACGACAGAGTTTTTTTTGCATGTGTTTGATTAATTACTCTTTTTTTTTTTTTTGCAGGATGGGAAAAAGCAGAAGCAGAGGCTTCTGCTTTGAAAACACATCTCGAAACCGTAACACTCGCTAAGCTAACCGTTGAAGACAGAGCTGCACATCTAGACGGAGCTTTAAAAGAGTGTATGAGACAGATAAGAACTCTCAAAGAAGAAAACGAACAGAAGCTGCATGACGTCATCACAACTAAAACCAACCAAATAGACGAACTCAGAGACGAATTCGACTCCAAGATCAGCGAATTCGAGCAAGAGCTACTCCGCTCCGCATCTGAGAACGACGCGCTCTCCAGGTCGTTACAAGAACGGTCCAACATGCTTACGAGGATCCGCGAAGAGAAGTCTCAAGCCGAAACCGAGATCGAGCATCTCAAGAATACTATAGAGTCTTGCGAGAGAGAGATCAACACTCTGAAGTACGAGACTCATGTGATCACCAAGGAGCTTGAGATACGCAACGAGGAGAAGAACATGAGTATGAGATCAGCAGAGGCGGCGAACAAGCAGTGTTTGGAAGGTGTTAAGAAGATTGCGAAGCTGGAAGGTGAGTGTCAGAGGTTAAGGACTCTTGTGAGGAAGAAACTTCCAGGTCCTGCTGCTCTTGCTCAGATGAAAATGGAGGTTGAGAGTTTAGGAGGAGGAGGGAGAGGAGGAGGAGAGTATGGAGATTATAGGCAAAGAAGGTCACCTGCTAGACCTTCTAGTCCTCTCATGTCTCCAATGTCACATCAAATCTCAGAGTTCTCGTTTGATAAGTTTCATAAAGAGAATGATTTGTTGACAGAGAGGTTATTGGCGATGGAGGAAGAGACTAAGATGCTTAAAGAAGCTTTGGCTAAGCGTAACAGCGAGCTTCAAGTGTCGAGGAACCTCTGTGCTAAGACGGTTAATAAGCTTCAGACATTAGAAGCTCAGATGATGATGAGTAAGAGTAGCTATGAAAATTTCTCTCATCAAAACGCTAGTAACCCTCCAAGTATGGCTTCTATGTCTGAAGACGGAAACGAAGACGCTAGATCTTTGATGTCTGAACACTCTCAAGCCAACAAGGATAAAAACAACGCGAAGATGAAGAAGACAGAGAGTGCTAACCAGTTGGAGCTTATGGATGATTTTCTAGAAATGGAGAAGTTAGCTTGTCTACCAAATGATGAGGTTTCACCAGCGACGACGCAGCAGCTTAAGAAAAGAATCTCATCTTTGCTTCAGTCTCTCCCCAAAGATGCTGCCTCTGAGAAGATTTTGCAAGAGGTACAATGTGCCATTGAAGAAGAAAAAGATGTAGCAAACATGTCAGATGAGAGCACTGAGGAGAAAGTGATAACACAAGAATTGGCTCACGCTCTTTCTCAGATATATAACTTTGTGACCTACCTTGAGAAAGAAGCAACGCAGTGTCAAGACACGTTTGCTCAAAAGGTTCAAGAGTTGTCTGTCACGTACGAGAGAGTGTTGAGCAAGGAGAAAACTGTGGTTGATTTTCTGTTTGATCTCTCAAGTGTTTTAGTTGAAGCTAATGAGCTGAAGATCAATGTGTCTGAAGTTGAGATTCACAGTCCAGATTGCATTGATAAAGTGGCTTTACCGGAGAATAAAGCAATTCTTAGAAAAGATTCATCAGGTGAACATAGTTGTTCACATAACTCTGACTCTGAGATTCCAGATGACTGCATTGACGCCAAGCTCTCAACAGTTTGTAAGTTTACATCTGAAGAGTTTGAAGGATTGAAACTTGAGAAAGAAAAGGCAGAGACTAAGCTTGCAAGCTGTGAAGCTGATCTTGAAGAAACTAAGTCAAGACAACAAGAAACAGAGAATCTTCTTGCTGAGGTGAAATCAGATTTGGAATCTGCTCAGAAGTCTAGTGGCATGGCTGAGACTCAGCTCAAATGCATGGTGGAATCATATAGATCTCTTGAAACTAGATCATCTGAGCTGGAAATTGAGTTGAGTTCTCTGAAAGGGAAGATTGAAAACTTAGAAGATGAGCTTCATGAAGAAAAGGAGAATCACCGTGAGGCTTTAACCAAGTGTCAAGAACTCGAAGAGCAATTACAAAGGTATGTTAAAACTGAACATTACTCTTTTTTTTATTACCATAAAGTCTCTAAAAATCTACAAAACTTCAGGGACAAGCAAAAGTGCCCTACTTGTTCAGTAAATGAAGCTGATCCTAAAACCAAACAGGTAACTTTCAAAAAACAAAACATATTATTTATTATATAACCGAGAATTCGATTTTAAAATCTTGTGTTTATGGAATGTTTACAGGACAATGAATTAGCAGCTGCTGCAGAGAAGCTACAAGAGTGTCAAGAGACTATATTACTTCTCGGGAAGCAACTCAAATCCATGTGTCCTCAAACAGAACAGGTTGCTTCGTCTACAAGCCAAGAACAAACCCTAAACCAAGAAGAGGACAACGAATACGCAACTATAAATCCTCAAGACATCAGATCGAGCTCGCCGTCAGAGACACCATCAATGTCTACAATGAGATCTCCGGTAGGAGCAAAACATAGACACACCAAGTCAAACCCATCATCATCGTCCTCGTCGGGACTTACCCCTGAGAAACACTCTAGAGGATTCAGCAGGTTCTTCTCCTCTAAAGCAAAGTAAACCAACAAAAATCCCTATAAATCTAACTATGTTGTATATCGTATCTATTGCTATATATACGGTATTTTTTTTACTATGTGGGAATGTTGTTTAACTTAAGTTTTTTTTTCCCGTAATGACAACAATTTGGTGTTGAATTCTACGGCTTGTAAATGTCATTCTACCCGTCTCTTTGTATTGTTTTTTTATGTATAAGGGTTCTAGAAAAATACATTAATTAAAAGACGATTTTAATGCTAAAATTCACCAATTAAATTTGTTTCAGGTAAAAAAATTCATAAATTAGATTTCTAACATAAAACCTCCTAAACTAATTTTATCTAACTGATTGAACACTCTACTATCTATGTATGGTACGTGTAAAACAAACCGATGCAACATGTAAATCTTTAGTTCATGGGGTTTTACACTAACAAAACTTAGTTGAGGCATTAAAAATCCACAAATACAATGAAATGTATATGTAAACTCAAATTTATAAAATAGTACTTCAAACAAATTATATAAATAGATGAACTAAATTTGTTTTAGAATTCACATTACATATCATGAAAGCCATGTTACAAAAAAAAAATTCACATTACATATCCTTCCCTACACAAATAATCTCACTTCGGAACAAAGTCCAGCCCACGTAATTCGTCTCGTGGGCTACTTTCATGATACTTATCAGTCAATCACTTCCTTATTTTCAGTTGAATCATTGGTTTTGTAGTTAAGAAGAAGAAAATATTACTATCTTAGAACTTCATTTTGATTAGTTATCTCGCCGGTTGACAAACAGAGATGCAAATATCTTCGAATAGCTTGTTTATGCAAGTGACTTTCAACTTGATTTTTACTATAGAATAATAGTACGTACCAACATTTTTTTCTAGAAAGAATCATCAATAAATCAAAGTTTGAAGACCGGGAACTAGAGTTTGAATTCGGAGCTTTTTTTTTTATAAATGGTAAATATGTTTCGTGGTTGCCAAAATAATTTTAATCCCAACAAAAATATCTAGGAATGAAGATCAGGAACTAGAATTAACCAATGCCGATGTTTTGACGTTTAGCTTAACTAATGTTTGATCCGGTCCGCTCTAAAAAAAAACTCACTAAGGCATTGATTGGTAACCATGCGGAATGGCGGAATGACTTATGAAACGCGATTCCGTAAGAATTTTGCCAATCAACGAAATGTTGCGGAATGAAAAAAAAACGTGACAAAAATATAAAGAGAAATTTTATTAAGTGGAAAAGTGAGTTTTAGTAGATTATGGTGGAAAGGTTTACAAACTAATATTTTTATATTATTAAATTATATGCTAATACTATCTTAAAATATAAAATACATATCAATAATTTTAATGATAAATAATTATGTTGTAAATAAAGTTCTATTATAATTTGTATATTAAAAAATGTCTATTGTTAAAATGTATTGAAAGATATGTTAGATATTTATAATAAAAACTAAAATGTTTTTAATAAATTTTAGTTGTTTTCACATTTATAATAACTAGTTTAATTATTACTAGTTGTGTTTTTATAACAAATTAAAAACATATAAAATATTTTAATCAATTAATATATATTCCGCTATTTCGCAAATTTTAAATTTTTCCACGACTTAATAATTTTTTCCGTAACTTAACTATTATTTCCGCAATTCCGCGATTACGCGATGGTTACCAATCAGAACCTAAGTAATACATAGTGGATTAACTACCACACCGTCTTACCTGAATTGGAATACCCTTCAACTTACTATTTCTATTACATCTGATCTATATCACATGCACCCTCATCCACCTTACCTAGTTCAATTCAAAACATAATAATTAAAATATACTTAAGAGCTTCTTCTAATAAAATCTTTACACGATTTAAATAAAAAAAAATTAAAGTTCCAGTGGTGGCTGGTGCAAAAGTTATCAACTAATTAGCCAGTTACTTTTTATTTCACGGTATATGAACGAATTAAACCCCACAAATGTATTTTCTCTTAATCTTTACTAGTAGTTGCTTTCATCAGAAACTCCGACAAATGTATATATTTGTGTGTGTCAGACTGTCAGTGTATGTTTTGCTAAGTCGTTGTCACTGAAGACAGCTAGTTTTTTTATAAAGCATTGAAGACAGCTAATATTTAGATATGGGTTATATGTATTTCCGTTAATTAGCCCAACCTATAAATATTGTGCACTGTTAATTAAGATTTGTTCAACAAGAAATAGTAAAGATTTCGAATATGCTATATCATTGTATCATATGTATTACCGAATGTATTTTACAAATGTGACTTTGATGGATTCTTTCTCGTTTCTTTCTATTATGTCAAGCATTTTTTTTCCCTTGTTTCTAAGATGACATAGCTTTCGTGCATCACTAAAAATTGTATACGCTATAGCCACCACCAATACCATAATCTCTCTTCTTTTCTTTTGTTTCAATAGGATGTATATTTAAAATTTTCACACATATTAATAGAATATATAACAAATATATAGTTTTGCGATTTTTTTCTTTCTACAACTCTAAAAAAGTAAGAATATAACTCTAAATAAATAAGAAGATAATAAGTGCAAGCAAATCTTATAAAGTTCATAATTAATCAATTATTAGTTGACAAAATATATGTTGAAAGTACAAAAAATGTATTCATTTATTTCAAATTATATGTTGGTTTAGAATTTTCATGCATATTAAGAAACTAACTAAAAATTTTACCCTTATCTAACTATTGAAATTTCATAATTTTATTGTTTTTCCTAATCTAATTATTAGGAACAAAAGAGATAAATTAATAAAAAAATCTGCATCGTGTTCATAAAACAACCCTAGATTTTGAAACAGAATGATTAATTCAACCGTATAGAATTTAAACTGTTGTTTTAAGAAATCAGGTATATCGACTACTAGATTTCGAAACAAAATGATTTCAAAATTGCAAGTTTACACTACATCATGCAAGTTTTTTTCTTACTGAAGTTCTCATTAGTGCAAATACTTTTAAGAAGGGTTTACCTGCGCAAGTTTACACCACATAATTAAGCAAAAAAAAAAAGTTTACATGCACCACATAATTTTAAAATATGTTGAAAAAACTTTGATACAAAATCAACTTCATTATTGTATTCTTAAGATTTTGTTTCTTTTATCCACTACTTTGAAGGGTCCTTCGAGCATTAGTATTAATTCAGTAATTAATTTCCTTAAAATTATTTTGGAAGGGAAAAGGCACGAGGTCTTTTTTTGGTCAAAAAGCGTGAGTTCTTATGATTGTAAGGTTTTAAGGAAACTCGACCGTCCGTTAAGTACCGTACGGTCGGGGAAATGGCATATGTAGATGAAATATAAATGAAAGGCCATGCGATATGTTCAAAGTTCGTGTCAAAACTAACTATAAGCCGTCACAAAACTTCAAAAAAACGTGTGCCATCACGTACCATTCTGATAATAGGATCCCCAACTCCAAGACATATTGTAGGGATCTAAATTTATTACTGTAGATTTTAAAAGTGTGGGTACCACGTGCATGTGCTTTGTCTCAGACATTGAAATTAATTCATAAACTAGTCACTTTAAAATATTTTAAAGAAAACTTTACATAACTATATAATACCATTCATTATTATACATTTCTTCCTTTTTTCATCAGAAATATACATTTCTTTTTGTAATAAAAGTTTTGTTTCTGTATATATACTAGTAAGAAAAGTTGTCAGGTGACTCAATTTTACAGTTGATCAGCCGTTTCAAACGAAGGCAGCCTTGTGATTCATGTCCTGGACGAGTTCGCACAGTAAAGTTCTATATTGTTTCTTTATAGAACAAGTTAAAAAGTAGAACAAGTTAAAAAGTAGAATAAGTACCAAATTAATTTCATATTATATGCAATTATATTCCGGTCGTGTGAAAAAAATGAGTTTATATATCCTCAACTGAACCAATTTTTTTTTAACAAGCCATATATTGGCTATATTGACAAATTCTTTAAATGGGAAGTGTCATGCAATATTGTACTTATATAGTAGTTAAAACCAAAAAGAAGAAAAAAGAAAATCAAAATGCATTTACTGATGTAATCTCTATAATATTATTTGAGAAGTCACTTTCTTAGGTGTCGCGCTCACGTTAACTCTCACGCTGCTTGATTACTATGATACCCTTAATGAATTAAAAATACAATTAAATATTATTTCTTTTTTAAAAATTTCCTAATAACAATATAAAATAAAAAGGAAACATTTATAAAATTTACAAAACTATTTAAAAACGAAAATATAAGTATATATGATATGGTTTAATAAAAAAGGAAAGTTCACAAAATAGTAATAATTAATTTAAATAACATAAAATATACCTTTGAAGTAATAAATACTTTATATCTATATCTTCTTAGATAAAAAAACAATATCTGTATATAATGAGATTTCATAAAAAAAAAATCACACAAAAAATATAGCTATTAAAAAAAGAAATATTTTTTCCTTAAAAAAATAATTTTAAACAATAAAATATATATATTTCAAAATAATTATTTTTGTATATATCTATCTATTTTGTTAGATGATTACATAAAATAATCAACTAACATAAACTGATATATGTTTAACTGACATTTTTTTATAATTAGTATTATTGAAATTATGTTTTTAGTATATTTATCTGACTATAATATCTTACAATTACAGTAAAAATATAAATTCTATTTTACTTATATAGTATAATTTCTCAAAAACAATCACTTTTTACTGACTATTTTAAGAGATACTAAAAATAAATTTATTGATAAACATCTTTTGATCAAGTAACTAAAATTATTTTAAAATATCATAACACTATATAATTTAACGAGGTAGATATATTATATTTTAATAGTTAAAATTATATGTTCTAAGAATAAGGATTCTGATTTACCTAAGTATTTTGATTATGGTTATATTAAGTTTCACAAACATAAAAACAGAAAATAACTACAATTATTTTAAAATACCATAACACTATATAATTTAACGAGGTAGATGTATTATATTTTAATAGTTAAAATTATCTGTTTTCTTAATAATCTTTTGATTTTTAATTTTTTGTTTTTATGTTTGTGAAACTTAATATAACCATAGTCAAATACTTAAGCAAATCAGAATCCTTATTTTTAAAATTATTTAAAATAAATTTCAGTTTACCTTCCAAACAATCTAAAGCATAAATTTATTTAGAATTTATAAAATATTTTAACTATTGTAAATATTGATATGTGTTCAAAATCTTCTAAAAATTCATTAGTTACTTATGTATGTAATTTAGAATCAGAAACTTTAGTTTTTATTTTATTTTCCTTCTAAGCACAAAAAAATCTTAAGTTATATATAATCTTACTAAATATACTTATATTTTTAAGATAACAACCAGCATAAATGCAAATAAGACAATTAATCAAAAATTTAATATTTTAAAATATAAAAGATAATAGTTGAATTCAGAGAAATAGATAGAATCCAATATATCTAAATGATAATTAAATCGACCGTAAAAACAATAAAACAGACTAAATATAACATATCTAAAATTATATATATAATTAAAGTAATATAATATTATAATATAAATTAGACATACAAACTATAAATTAATTTAAAAATTAAAGTAAATATCAGTTAGTTATTATTGTATATTTATTTTATAAATATATATGCCCGTGCATGAGCACGGGAAAATCACCTAGTATATAGTAATAGGTACACCACCATGAGGAGAAAATATTTATCAGATAATTTGCTTAGTTACTCCCTACAAAATCCAAGATAATAACCAAAATTGGTTTTATTGATTACTCTTAGAGGTATCTCTAAAGTTGGTCTCGTTCTAATGGAAACACTAACTCAATTTTATCCCATTGATCTAAAAATTAAAGCTAAACAAAGCTTATTCCTCTGAAAAGTACTAAAACCAACAGACCCTAAATAAATGTTGATCAGAGCATGGAGGTGACAATGGATTTGAAAGCTACTTCGTCACAAGGAATAGTGATGCCCATGTCATGATCAAAGCCAAACTCTTCCTCAGCCTGTTGTAGAAGAAGCTTAAACTCGGGTCGGGTCAAAAATGAAATGTGTAAAACGTACCTGACCCGATTCTCCCCTACGTAGACCACGAAGTGACCTTTGGGAACATCTAGAGGAAGTGATTCTCCATCTTGTTCGTGTAGGTCGTTATATTCACTACTCTGTTTCTTCCCAAAACTTGAGCACCTCTTCAAAATTTGCTTTATCATGGTCGTTTGTCTTAGCTTGGTCGTCGTCCGGATTTTAATCGCCATTTTCTTTGAATCCCTCGGGAGGGGATTTTATGTTGATTCTCGAGATTCTTTGTTTTGTGTGTTGCAATATCTTCTTGTGTTTTATATATAACTCTCTTTATCTTCCTGCTAGGCGTGTGGTCCGTGTGGAGAGAGTCAGAGAGTGAAGAATGGTTTCTTGAGTTGTGGTTATGGATGGTTTCACTAAATATATATAGGGATACATTAATAAAGATTGTGAAAAAGTTATATACCACTCTAAAATCAGAGACATTATATGGGGCCAAAAGTCACAAGAGAGATCCTACTATTGAACTGGGGAAAAATTTAACGTTTTGAAAAACAAAAACTAGAAAAAGTATAAGGCAGTTATATACCTACGAATTAGATTCGTCAAATATCAATTTTCTACTATGTAACGCCTAATCGCATGTTGGTGTGGATGCTTACATAACTACGTGCGTGGACCAGACTAAGCTTCACTTTCAAATCTTGAAATGGGATAAAAGAGAAATGTTCTACACAATCTGGTAAGGTTTTGATGGATTATACCATCGCAATATCTCTGGACAAAATGTAAGTATACAACTATTTTTAACCATGTACATATATGCACATGTACAGATTAACGAGAGGAGTTTTTTGAGGCGTGGGGTGAAGTAAGGTGTGCTTGTCTATTACAGAATACATATTTGTTGTAGGCTAAGTATATTTATCTGTTGTAACCTAAGACATCTTTTTATCTTTTCCGAAAAGATAAAAAGCTTTTGTTAAAAATATATATCTTACGTTCTTAAAACTGTTAATCACAAAAATGAAATAGTACATTTATAATCAGCTATAGTTTATTTTCTAAATATATAAAATGAAAAATGTTCTAAATTTGTTCCAGACTGAGAGAACTAATTAGAAACAAGAGAGCGACTCTTTCATCTGGTTCAGTTTGAGAAACATGGCAAATATAGGATGTTATAAAACCTTGTTAAATGCAGACGAATGGTACAAATTAGTTTTTTGGTGTAAATGTTAAGAAGGTGCAAATTAGTTGCAGAGGCTGCATCTAACTTTCAAACTAGACTCAAAATTCTAAATTTTCTAACCAACTTTCAGGTCACACAATAAAATTGCTCTAAATATATTTTGGTTGCAAACATACACAATCAACACAAATTAATAATAGCCAATTGAGTTTTGTAGAGATAGCTGTATAAAGTGAGGGACTCATGCACAGTTATACGTGTAAGAAGTTTAAAACCTAGTTGGAATAGTTAGTTTATTTGCATGCTACAAAGCCTACAATATTGTACAATACGTAACAAACACAACAAAAACTCGACGTCCGTAGTTTCCTATAGAAGAAAAAAACAACTAAAATCAGCTAATTTTAATTTAAACATCAGTATGAATGTATTAAACTCAGAATGCAGAGATGCACACAGATAGTGGAAACCATCACGTACTGTCCTTAGTCCTTCACGTATTTCAATTTCAATATCTACAAGCTGAGACTAATCGATGACTAGTAGCCAAAAAATGGTAGCATATCGATGAGATCGTGAAAAAGACAATTTAATGTAAATGTGAAGGACGAAGAACAGTACTCTAGCCAATTAAGGGTTCATCAATTAATATCCATGCCAGGATGCACATGCACGTCCCAAAACATCCCATTTAGTTTCGACTGGTATATATAATTGTATATATATTTTTTAATTGTATTCGGGAAATATGAGATTTATATAAAATAAAACGTTTCGAAGTAAATAGCGGCCATATAGCTTTTGAAAACGGGAAACTGTTTTTAAAATAATAGAAAGAGAAGAAAAGTTTAGAATATTAATAGTCGCCCAATAGTTTTTGCATTAGAGAAAGATTTTTAAAATTGATCTTTTTAAGTTCAGCCAAGAAAAGACATCACCAACAAACTATAGATGATTAACCTGGTTTTCGAAGAAGTTAACTAATTGATTTTTTTTTTTTGCTAACCGAGTATCCTGGCTTCGAAAGTCATCAGGTGGCTCACCGTATAAGTGTCTTCGATCTCGCTACTTTATTTTATTTTTTTGCAAAAATTTGGTGTTAATAAGTGAGGATTTTCATTTATTTAAGAGAAAATAGTTTTATTTTTGCGTTTAGTGGTCCAGTAGGATGTGGAATTCGTGTTAGGTCGTTCAGCATCACGTGAATGTGAGGTAAGCTACTAGCTAAGATGCAAATAATTTAATCGATGTAGTTTAGTAGTTTTGTTTATGTTCCAGTAATGGAAAACCACGACGTACAAATCTATTTTCTCTGAATCTACCTTAATAAATATGGAGTGATTTTTACCCAAAAAAAAATATGGAGTGATATATCGTCTATATAGTAGCACTAGCATTGACTTAATGTGTAGTTTGTAAAAACTAAAAACAATAGTATTCGATATTAATATGTTTATATATTAAAGTGTATCTCACAAAATTTTCAGATGAGGATGTTTATATACAATACAATTATACAACTATTCAAGTTTTTGACTCAGCAGAACATTATTGATATTAGGCGGCAAAACGTTGATTTCAGAACTAGCATATCAGCACTTGGGTTTAGAAGTGTTGTGAGAATCTTACCGGAGATTAGCTTAGGATGAAGATGAATCATTTTTGGTGACACCTTTAACTCATATAAAACCTTTTCTTACGAAACAGCAATTATAATACTCATACACATCATCTTTCTGGATTTATTAACTTACTAAAACCGATCTAAAACACACATGTTCAAACTGGATCAAGAAGACAGAAAAAAAAGAGAGTAATGTCACACACAGTTCTTTAAAGAATCTCCAGCACCTTGAAAGAAGAAGGAAGAAAGCACAAAATCCGCAATAAAGATTCCGACAAGAGACATAACAACAGCAGAGGTTGTAGATTCTCCAACACCTTTAGCACCTCCCGTAGTAGTCACTCCCCAAGAACAACTAATCACCGATATAATAGCTCCAAACACCTGAGATTTAATCATAGCACTCACAATATCCCACGGTCTAAGCGCTCGATGAGCCGAATCCATGATTATATTAATACTAATCCCATAAACCGCATCAGAGAGCAGAGCACTCGAAGCCATCCCAACAGTGAAACACATAAGTGTCAGAAACGGTAAAGCCAAACACGAAGCGATAACTCTCGGTGTGATCAGATAATCAATCGGGTCTGCTCCTAAAACCCGTAGCGTATCCGTCTGCTCCGAGACTTGCATTGTCCCTAACTCAGCAGCAAACGCGCTTCCCATCCGTCCAGCAACAACAATCGATGTGATGACAGGACTCAGCTCTCTAGAGAAGGCTAAAGCCAAGACGCCACCAATGGATCTGTTAAGGCCGAGTCTAGTAAACTCTCTAACGAACTGGATAGTGAAAGCCATGCCAACAAATGTAGAAGTCAGAAGGCAAACTCCTAGAGACTTCGGTCCTGTTCTCTCCAGCTGCTGAAGAGTGTTTCTCCAATGGATCTTACCCTTTAAAATCCGGAGAACGACTTGTCCTGCTATGATGGGGACAGATAAGCCTCTCCAAATGTATTTAGAAGGTGACCATTTACTAAACGGAAGCTCAGCTTCCGGAGAAGCCGGGGCCGTGTTTTCAGGGGAGGTTTCTTCTTCTAACATAGACATGGATGGGTGAGAGTCATTAGCATTCAAGTTCACATATAATCTTCTTCCTCGTGTAAAGTTTGAAATCCCTAAATGCTGTTTTTTGCCAGTGAAACTAACTCTTTGGGGTTTAATAGCGATGGAAGCATCACATCTAGGAAGAATTCTGCAAGAATCAATCTGATAAATGACAATGAAGGCAAAGGGAGAAGCCTTTTTTAAGCTTATGCTTACACAAATAATACCTATAAGGGGAACTCAAAGACTGATGGATACAACAAGTCTGCATCATCGTCACTGATTCAGTTCCAGCTAGTAAAAAGCGTGACACGAAACGCGATTAGCCTGTTAACTTAAAGCAAAAAAACACATAATCGATTTTAAATTGATTAAAATCAGAGATCCAAATCGACGCTAACGATTCCATAACTAAGTTCCGCTTCCTAAACAATCAATCAATCAATCAATCTCTAACGTATTCGATTTCGAATTTACTAACGAATCTAGGTGAAATCTGTACAATAGAAACCAATTAGGTTTATCAGTTCTTCGTCGTACTTTGAGATCGATACATAACATTGATAAGAGTAGCTTCTAGAGAATGGTAGCTTCAAAGAGAACTTACGTTTAGAATAGAGACGAAGCTAAGAAGGTCGAAGAAGATGGATTCATCGAGAGAAGAGAGTAACACAGAGATAACAAACAGCTAACAGTTGCAAAGAGTATGCAGCGAGAAAAATAAAATAAACAAAGACGTGGCAAAACATTAATTGGGCCGTAAAAAGCCCAATACGTTTGACAATTCAATAACGGGCTTACGCCATCTACGTCTGGTCCATTTGTATAACATAAAGTTATACCGATATATTTTTGTAAGCGTAAAGCGTATACATAGGAAGATAGTCGATAATAAAATATCATATCATGTGTGTTTGTGTGAAAAGAGAAATGAAGAAGTGGTGGTGGTCACATGACAGAGAGTCCTTGTAACCTTTATGGAGACAACAACGTTATCTTTTGTGTTCAGCTGGTCCGTTCTTTAAGGGCACACTCTCTGTATTATATACGCCTCTCTACGTTTTTTATCTATTCATATTTACCCTACTCTACACTACAAACCAACAAAACTTTACTTCTCCTACAAAGTGAAAGTGATACTATGAAATCGAAGACTCCATTTTGATTAATATGCGTATGTTATAAACTATATAGAGAGAAAGTATATAGGTATGTGATGTGGTGCATGTGCATGGGATGGGCAGATGGGGCCCGAGGGCTGGAGAAGGCCCATAAAGCTAAAAGAAGAGGAGAGGACCACGTGGCCGGGGGGCTAGCTAGTTCTACAAGTGGAGTGGATACTAAGAAGTAAGGAAGTGTAGGAATGAGTT